AATGTTGAATATTGACTTATGATTATTGAGTACCTGAACTGAACATTATGTGCATGATATCAAATGGGTTTGATTATGAATTTAGATTCAGTTTATATGGATGTTCGACGCATTAGATATGCTTACTCAGCTTAAACGCTGAGCGTGTAGTATGTTTTATTTGCTACACGCAGGTAAACAAAATGAATGAAGAAATGATTTCCTGGAGGCAGATGGGACGAGAAGGTCGGACGGATGTGTGTTTTGCATTTAAATTACTGTTGAAAAGACATAAATTAATTATGTTTGTATTATGTTTTATTAAGCTTCCGCAACATTAAATTACCTCGTTACTATTTTGAATTATTTATTATGAAATAAAGTTTTAAATATTTGAAATATTTTGAATGTTTACGAATACCAAGTTTATACTTTAGTCCTAAAAGGGCTGCAGACCTGGACGGATTAGGGTGTTACAATTTGGTATCGGAGCAAATGGTTTTAAACCCGATCTTCGGATCAAAACTTGGATTTAAATATATATATATATACATATATATTTTGGCTATATAAAAAAAATCAATCACATCCACGACTCTCGCATCCCTCTGCTCCAAGAAGGTAATAAAAATCTAAGTATTAAATGTGTGTGTATTGAATTTCATAGATGTCAACTGTTAATTCGGAAATGATATCAAGTGTTGATTCAAGTCGCACTTTCGTACATGGTAAAAGACGAAAGAACAAACGAAATGTATATTAATCCCTGATACGCTATCAACGTGCCCATCGCTTCGCGAAAATAATGAAAAGAAGGATTTATTTGCGCCGCACGGCTGCATGGGAACGAGATGACCCGGAAGAGACGTTCAGCATAGACTCTGCCAACAGCATCTGCGGATCCGGTGTGGAAGATCCTTCCGTAAATTCAAGAAAATCCAACTATTCAAACGTAAACGCTTAAAATAAATCTTGTTGATCGAATCCCTTGATTTTATCAATTATTGTAATCTTTTGTAATTTCTGTCATGAACTCAACTACCTAAATAAAGAATCCTAATAAAGGAATTTCTGTTAATTGTAGAATGAGTCAAGAAATCGCACACGGACAAGGCAACAATGAACACGTAAGTGTTCACACTGAAGCATCTAGCTTCACCCCTCCTATCCAAAACGAGCCTATCAACCAAGAGGATGTTCCTCAGAACAATGCGAATGCTGGTGGTCAACCTGACTACGCAATTCCTGTTTTCTTGGCAAACTTGCTTCAACAAGTGGCCAATGCTCCAATGTTTCAACCACCACCACCGCCGCCACCGCGTGTAATCACTTTCAAATTTCTGAAAGATAATGGAGCAGAAGAGTTTATGGGCGATCGAATCGCCGAACCTCAAATTGCTTGGAATTGGATTGAACAGACTGCCCGAGTGTTGAGAGATCTGAACGTACCGCTTAACGACCACCCGAGACTCGCATCACAATTACTTCGTGGGGAAGCCTACGAATGGTGGAAACGCACCGATGAAAGTAACGAAACCCCGAAGCCATGGACGTGGGAGTTCTTCGACTGGGCTTTCAAGAAAGAGTATATCCCAGCACGCTTCCGTGAAGCGAAACGTACCGAATTTGTTGAGTTGCAACAAGGGGAGATGACGCTTCCCGAATATCGCCAAAAGTTTGTCAGTCTTGCCAAATTTGCACCAACGTTGGTAAGCACCACAACTGACCGTATTGAGGAGTTCAGATCAAAACTCCGACCTGATCTCAGGGCTCAAGTATCTGTCATACCAACGGTAGACTTCACGGAAGCCTATGATCTGATTGCTAAAGCAGACAAAGATCTGAATGCTTGTAAGGAGTACTTGAAGAAAGAAGGTGCTAGCACAAGTGAACGTCGACCTACAAATTCTGTCTCGGGTGGGAAAAGACCATTTCAAGGACCCAACAGCTCACACTTCTCCAAGAAGGGGAAATCTGTACAAACCCAATCAGTGGCATCTGGCAACAGGTCAAAGGGATGGAAAAACCCAACGTGTAAAATGTGTGGGAGACACCATCCTGGGGAATGTTGGCTTGCTCAAAGACTATGTCTCGGTTGTGGAAAGCCGGGGCATTTCCGAAAGAACTGTCCCACAAATCCTGGAGAGCCATTTCCACCTGCTCCTGTCGCCAGTCACGCAGCATCGGCACGTTCCGCTCCAAGTCAACGCTCTACAGCAGGATCTAATCCTGCTAAAAATCAAAATCAACAGCAAGGACGAGCGCCTGCCCGCACCTATGCAATGAAAAGACGTACTGAAGAGAACTCTGATGTCATCCAGGGTATGTTCTCATTATTCGATACAACCATGCATGTGTTGATAGACCCTGGATCGACATTATCTTACATCTGTGTACCTATGCCTGACAAAGCTGACATATTGAAAGAAAACTTAGAACACCCTATGCTAGTATCTAACCCACTAGGACATAGTATGAGGTTACATCATGTATACCAAGATTGTCCGCTGATTGTCGAAGGACAACAACTCCTTGCAAATCTTGTTGAATTACCGTACAAGGAATTCGATGTCATCCTTGGTATGGATTGGCTTACTGAACATCAAGCTGTTATCGATTGCCGACAACGGGTGATACAACTGAAAAACAATGATGGAAAGACCATTGAAGTGAAAGAAAAGCTGACACCCAAACCTACTGAATTCATCTCGTATATACATGCTAGGCGCCTCATCCGCAAGAAATGTGAAGCCTATTTATGTAATGTACGAGACACATCAAAAGAAACTCCTGGATTGAAGGACATACCAATGGTGTGTAACTTTCCTGATGTATTTCCTGATGAACTTCCTGGTATACCATCTTCCAGAGAA